CCCCAAAACCCCAAAACCCCAAAACCCCAAAACCCCAGTGCATAGTTAAGATATTGAATCAGAGCTTATAATAACTCATTTATGATATCATTAATCTTGCTACAAATCCTTTTGACCGGGCAATTACTCACATATGTTGATAAGAACTCCTTTGCATTTGGGAAGGCTACCTTTTTGACCTTCAGATCAGTATCACTGACTCTCTTGTTAAAGTCATTTATACCATTAGAGTTGTTTTCCAGGAGAATTTTGAGCAGTCTCATCAATTTGTATTCTATCTCTGTGTCCCCAATACAGCCAGATCTCCATGATTCAAAAGAGAGTTTTCCTTCAGGTGCTAGGGAATCTTTCTCTTCCTCACCCATTTCCTTGTGTTGATCCTCATAAATAAAAGCTTGGAGGGTCTGGAAGTACATTTTCTCGATAATAAAGCTTCCTAGCTCTTTCAGAATCATGTTCTTCCTATCATTAATTTTGAGATCGTCACAGCAGTACTGGATACAGAGAGAAATGAGAGTTTGACAATAGTTTTGCTCGACAGCCACAAGCCTGATGTTGAAGTCTCGATGCTGAGAGGTTAAACTAAGATTATCCTTAACTTCCTCATCCGGTTCATAGTCTTGGAACAAGAAAACTATCTCTCTGCAAGCATAGATAACGAATTCCTCGATATCCTTCAAAGCGTTTTCTCTTTTAGAGATATCGTCAGGGTTGTAATCCTTTAAGATGATGAAAACATTCTGGAAAATCATGTCTCTGATCTCAATGCAATAAAGGAACTCATCCTTTTCCTCATCTTGTCTCACAACAACTTTTAGATGGTCAAATAATCTATTGATGTTCCCTAATAAGACTGGGAGATTCTTGTACAAAGAGAAAATTGCTCTGAGACACTTCAGAGATTTAAAGAGAAGAGGATGGTGAGCAGTCTTCAATGTATCGATGAGATCGTCATGAAAGTCATTACTCACCATGACTTCTATGTACTCTTTGTCAGACAACCCCATATTAAACAAAGCAATTCATGCTACTTCTTTGAGAGCTCTCCTTCCATTAATGTATCAGTCAATCAAAGGTTTGACAACTTGTTGAGCTGAAATCCTCTTCGACTCATCTTGAATAAATGCTCCCATCTTTTTAGGGTCGTTTTCAGAAAATAACTTAATGATAACTCTTCAGATACACATTTGAACTTCATCTGAGAAATAAGTTGTTTCAAGAAGGAACCTGATGAAGCTATAGAATGAGGTATCTCCTTCCTTCTCAAACACTAACTCTGCATAATTAGTCTCTAGGATAGCCGACATCACCTGTTCATTGAAGGTATAATCTCCAGAGACTTCTCTCAGTGTCTTGAGTACTGTTATGAGGGCAGGATTACTACCACCTCCAACACTAGCTCCTTTGTTTCTTACATCAAGGAGATATGCTAGCTCTTGTGAAAATACAGCTCCACTACTTCCTGTTTCATCATAAGCTTTCTTCCCTGCTTCAATAAGTGTAAAGAGTGTAAATTTGGATTGATAGTATCCTCCATCAACACAGTATGCAAGATATGCAGCAACCTTAGAGTCCCAAATATTCTGAATCATCTCTTGATCGTTTTGGCCAGATCCTTGGGACATGCCTGTATGGCTATCTTCAGCAATCATTCTTCGCTTACGAAGTTGGAGTGATTTCTTAATCTTTTCTTGAAGAGCTTTCCTAAAATCAGATGGCTTCTTTGCGTTAATAATTGGATTTTTCATGATTTCTTTCTTAAACGCCCTTTTAAATGGCTTGAAATTATCGTAGTTCTTGACCTTGATAACTTTACTTATGATACAATCCACGTATAGCTTCGTGATCTCTCCTAAGTCTTTCAAATATGGCTTGATGCCCAGTTGGTACCTCACGAAATTGAGAGAATCGCTATCAAACAAGAAGGAATTAATCTTTTCCTGTACAATTGTTCTGTAGATCTTGCTGATAGGACTCAGAGGTTCTAAAGAATCTATTAACAACTGGTGTTCTTTCAGTGTTTCTGAAAGGATCTCTTTCCCTTCCATTGAGTTTGAATTTGCTACTTTAACCTTAGTTTGAAGGATGAAATCTCAGAAATTGGACATAGAAGGAGGAATATACTTCCTTCTTTCGATCGTAATGAAATAATTCGCACCATTTGCTTTTGCATGAATTTCCCATCCACTCCATTCAGCTTGGTCAGAAGATAGATTCTTCTTTTTGAAATAAGGGTCTGACCTGTAAATCTCAATTATAGAACCATAGTTCTCTGACCCAACTATTCTCTCTGTAAAATTCCATGCAAATTCCTCAAGATTATCCCTGTTCATGTTAAAATGTGGTAAGAGTTCAACTTGGTAATCAGGATCAGAGATCTGTATCATGATCTGCTTTTCTAGAAGGCCGCTTTCGTGACCACCTTCAACCTGATTATATAACAGGTACTTGTCTGTCTTCTGGAGATCATAATGATTCCTGTTCTTCATCATCCATTGGAAGATACTGTGGTTCTGGATGGTGTAGACATCATTGTTGATTTTAAATTCATCTTCTTTTTTAGCAGCCACCTTCTTATCCATCTCATGCACTGGTAGATCTCTATGGCTGTTATTTTGGACCATCTGGCAAGTCTCCCAGTATCAAGCTAGATTCAAGATGAATTGCCCACGATCCTCTATCTTTAAAACTAGAGGATTCAGCTCACATTTCTTATGATCTCGATGATATATCTTCAGCAGTCTTTTCTTTTTGGTTGATTTGAGCACCTTTGTGATCTTCAGGTAGTTAATTTCGTAATCAATGGTGTAGTTTTTGTCACTTTCGCCTACTTCAGGCTCCTGGAAACAATACATAAATCTCTTGTTCAGACACACGTAGTAACTCGTCTGATCAATGACTGCATAAGTGAAGAAGACAATCTTAAGGTCCGGATTGTTTGTATCCCCCTCATCGTCTAGCATCCCAGGCTCTAGGAACTCATAGCAGTATGTCTGGTCTGCGTATGTATGAGTATAGTCCATTTAATTCAATATTTATATAACATCTTGGGGTTTTGGGGTTTTGGGGTTTTGGGGTTTTGGGGTTTGGGG